ATAGCTCATGTTATCTGTGAGAGACTCGGAGAGCCTGCCTTCCACCTCGGCAGTGTCACTGGCTTCTTTCTGACCCCCAAGCATAAACTGTCATCCCAGCTCTCCCTGCCCCCTTCTCTTTTTCCCCCAGGACCCAAAGGACCCCTGTCTTTCTCCCTCAACACCCGTGTCTTCTTAGCCTTTCCTTCTCCTGACTGAGTCTTGGTTCCCTAAAGCTTGGTATTTGGCGTGACAAGTCAGCATTGAAATTTCTGATAAACTACTTCTCACGAAGGTATTGATGACCAGCATTATTCTTCCTCTCCTTCGACTCAGCTGGGTGCTGTCGAGTCGCGGGAACTCTTAGCCACCCTGTGCCAAAAAGGGCAAAACACTTGCGAGCCCAGCGCTGTCCTGAGCACGCAGTTTATGCTCATCCTCCGAAGCAATCCCTCTCCTTGAGGCTCTTCCTCGTTCTCACTCTGCTTTAGCCCTCAGGATGTCCTTCTCCAGGGAGTAGTCTTTCCTATTAACGTTCCAAGTACTAGTGACAAGGGATTTTAAAAGACATTAAGCCATAATTCCAAGTCATGCATCTGATCGAGGAATCTGATAGTCCAGCAAAAGAAAGACTGCAGAAACAGAAGATGAACTCTGAGAAGTATTAGGTTATATTTGGCAGATAGCTGGTGCCTACTGCATCTTGTTGATATAACTCTGGCTTGAGAAGTTTCTGGAGGTCTGGTGGTGTAGTGGGTCACAGGTTGAACTGCTAACCACAAGGTCAATTGCTCCTGGGGAGAAAGATGAGGGTTTCGCCTCCCATAAGGAGTTACCATCTCAGAAAACCACAGGATAGTTCTATCCTGTCCTTTAGGGTCATTATGAGTTAGAATTGAGTGAGTGAGAGAAGTTTCTAGACTTAGACATTGCCCCAAAATTTGCTTGCTAAAACATCATGCCCAGTAGAGTTCTAATGAAATCCCTTCATCTGTGGAGTGCTTCTGCTATAGCACCATGAAGGAGGACGTCTGTTTTCTGTCTTACATTTTCCATCATTCAGCTCCCACTGGTGTGACCTTACACCACTATACATGACGCCTAAAATTAAAGCCCTCATCAGTGCCTGTCATTTCCTGGTTTCAGGTAGACACGTAATCTCAAAGATCATCCTCTGTTATAGAAAAGAGAACTATGGCCCAGAGAGGTAGAACAACTTGCCTAAAGTAGTCCAGTCAACGACAGGATCGGAAATCGATCCCGCCTCTCCTCAGTAACTGCCTGTGGGCTTAGGATCCCATCGACTACACTTTCTGTAGGAGGAATTCTTGGTTCAATTCCTAGATTTATTATTCTGTATCTGTGGCCTGGACAGTTATTAACCACTCTCTAAGCCTCAGTTTCTTCATCTTCCAAGTAGGAGAAGAGGGATTGAAGCCACTAGAGTTGTTGCAAACAACAAATGACATCATCTATGCCAAGAGCGGGGCTCAGTGCCTGGCATCTAAACCCCAAGAACTGACTGTTGTTGTTAACATAATCATCACGATTACTTTGTTGTTGTCGGGTGCCATTGAATTAGCCCAATTCATAGCAAACCCGCCCTCCCCCCACTGCCCCCTGCAAAACAGCAGGAAACATTCACAATCCTTGCTATGTTTGAGCCGAGTAAGGGAGGTACTGATCAACCCATCTCACTGAGGGTCTTCCTCCATTGTGCTGACTCTTTACTTTGCGTGATGTCCTTCTCCAGGGACTGGCTCCTCCTGGTATGTAAGATGAAGTCTTGCCAGCCTTGCTTCCACAGAACTCTCTGGCTATAGTTCTTCTCCTGTATATTTGTTTCTCCTTCTGGTAGGCCGTGGTATAGTCAATCTTTGTCACCAACTCCATAATTCAAAGGCATCCATTCTTCTTTAACCTGCTTTATTCATTGTCCAGCTTTCACCTGCAAGGAGGCAATTGAACCTACGATTGCTAATTGTGTTCCTACTCCCGGCAGCCTACAGAAAGTGTGCAGCTGCTTTCCAGGGTGTCTGCTTCACTGCCCGAGGAGTGGCCAGAGCCATGGGGGAATCTGGCAGAACAGGTTTTTGCAAGGAGTGGAAAAAGAAATCAAAGGGGCGATAACCCAAACGGGGAAAAGAATAGACTCCTTTGTTTGTTCTTTGCTGGTTGCGAAAGAGCCATCAAAGTACAATTTATGGTGAAATAAATCTCAGTGACTCATCTTGAAGCTGCGTGGCTGAGCTCCTCTGATCCCTGCTCTCTGTGATCCCATGAGGACAGCTGGCGGGAACCTCCAGGTTCTGCTGAGCGGTAATGATGCCTGATGGTTTTCGATGATGGCATCACCAGTGAGTAGACGTGGGTAGGAATCAGAAAACCACACACAGGTAGGGGTTAGGGGGGTGACTTCAAAGTGAAACACAAAGTATAGCCTGCCCCTTGCTACAAGCTTACGTTGCTGGATGTGAAGCCCCCGAGGACTTCGTTGGAAAGATTTCAGGATACATCAAGGAAAACAGGGAGAAGAGCAGGTTGGGCCCAGACTGGATCCGGCCCTGGAAGGCTAGTAAAACTCGTCGTCTCTCCTCTCTGTTCCATTCCTCCTTTTCTACGGACTCACTTCCTCTATGACTCTGTTTGATACAATGGAAAATATGACCATCCACAGCTCACATGTCTTGAAAATCACCACGTAGTCATGCAAACAGAGCTTGGTCTAGCTTTCTCCAATTCCAGTTCCCATAGAAGGGACTGATTGGCCAAACCTGAGTTAGATTTCGGTCTCCTGTCCAATGGGTAAAGGTCAGGGGGTCGAAACCAGTTACACCAGTATGACTCACCCACCCTAACTGCACACCACAGATAACAGATTACAGAAACAGGTATTGATGAAGACAGATGACTTAGAAACATAGCACTCACATTTAGTCCGGTGCTACATCTCAGCCATTCCCACACGCCTATGATTCTACCTGAGATCCAGAAGGTCTCTGTGCTCATTGCCCTGGCCTTTCCCTGTGGGCTGGACTCTAGAATTAAACACGCTAACTCCAGCATAAAAACGTTTTTAAACAAATCAGCACCCACTACTATCAAGTCAAGGCCGGGGAGCAGCTTGTGGTTTCAAACTGTTGACCTTGCGATTTGCAGCCAACTCGTAATCACTATGCTAACTGGGCTCCTAATTCCAGCATAGTATAGTCAAAATGACACAGGCTAAAATATAAATTAGTAAATAAAGACACAGGTGTTAGTGCCAGAGACTCTGTTTTAGGGCTCAGATTTACCACTTACTAGCTGCATAACACTGGGTTAGTTACTTAGCCTCTCTGAATGTTGGGTTCCTTATCTATAAAGTAGCAGTATTAATACCTGCCTGATAGGGGTGGTTGTACAGATACAGGAAAATAAAGTAACCACATTTAATAAGTAACTCGGCAAAGAGTAGGTGCTCAGTTAATTTTTATTTCCTTTTCTTCATTAGGTTACCTAGAAACTTTCGGGTGGGTTGCGGAAATGATAACAAGTGAAACGGGAGGAAACAGGAGTGGAAACGTTTTATATCTCGACGGTATCTTTCTGCCCCGGGTGTTTTACGGTGGTCCTGAGCAAACATTAAATAACGGAACTGGGTCAGCTGCGCTGGGAAAGCCATACTTCGATGGAGTCCGTCTCTCACGTCAGAGCCAAATCAACAAGAGCCCTTCTAAGGAACTGAGGATCAATTATGGAAGTTTTATGCCTCTTATTAATTTCCTGGTGTAACTGTACGGCTCTTAAACGTTCCCCTATAATTTTTAAAGTTTAGAGAATGCAATCTAATGGCTGGCTTAGTGAATGAAAGGCTGTATTCTGAGACTGCATGAGAGGCACCCTCTTTTAAGAGTGGAGTAAACCATACTTTCTTCTGAAACCGCGAGCTATTGAGCTCTTCGTGATAGCAAGCAGCGGGCTAAACTTTTACACGAGCTCACCGTTTTCCCTCTGAGTTAAATGCTACTACCCCCCTATTTTCTAGGAGCCCTACTGGCGTAGTGGCTACTTGTTGGGCTGTGATCTGCAAGGTCAGCTTTTTGAAACTACCAGCCAGCTAGCAACGCAGGAACAAACAGGGGGCTTTCTTCTGCTCATGGCACCTCCCAGAGACAGTTCTACCCAGTCCACTAGGGCCACCATGAGTCAGAGCGGTCTCCATGGCGGAGAGTTTGGTTCTGACTTTGGAGCCTCCTGTCCCAGATTAAGAAATTGAGGGTCAGATAAGTGAATCACCATGGCCACAGAGCTCCTGGTGACCGGCTGAAACTTGAGCCTGGCTTGACGCTGTCTTCCTCTAAGCCGCCGAGATTTGCTTACAAGATTTACAGTCCGGCTCTAAAAGAACTAAATCCCCATGGAAAAATCTGTGCTTGGAGTATCTCGTTTTTGATAAGTGACACTCTCACAGCGTGGATGTGTCCACACAATGTGCGTCCGTGGGTCTTTATGCAAAGCAGTGGGATTATAAGAAGGAAAACCAGTGAACAGCAGGTGCAATAGCTTGTGTGACCCAATAACTTTTGTAATACCTTACGTAGGAAATAATAGTGATGAAGAAAAGTAAAAATACTGGAAATCTCACCCCCGCTTTAGATTTATGTTCCCCATCGTGGTAAAATCTATGGACTCTGTGTGCGTGCAAGCCTGCTCCAGCAAACAACAGAATTTTGTGATCAACCTAAGGCATCATCAATACTCCCATTGACATAGGACCTTCTTTCACTAAACAGACCCAACCATGGAAACACGGTGATTTCTAACCCCTGATGGACCTGCTCCTCCAGAGACACTGCATTGTGCCAGTTGGGTGCGACTGTGTGTTTTATTGTATCCCAGACCTGGGCTCCCTTGGTGCCTTTGCTGTTCCACTGCCTCCCGTTGTGTCCGTGGTGGACGATTTGGATATTGTCTCTCTTGATTAAAAGCACATGAGGATTAATAGCTCATGATTTCCTTTTTCATTCTCTGTCTTTCAGCTCCAAGGTTCCCTGAAAAGAAAACAAGTAGTCAATCTGTCTCCTGCTAACAGCAAGAGGCCCAATGGCTTTGTGGACAGCTCGTTCCTAGATCTCAAGAGAATTCGTGTCGGGGAGAATCTCTCCGCAGGACAAGGCGGCCTCCAAGTAAATAATGGACAAAGTCAGATTATGTCCGGGACCTTGCCGATGAGTCAAGCACCCCTGAGAAAGACAGCCGCTCTGCCACACAACGCGCACTCCCCGGGCAATGGCATGTTTAGCATGGGCTTAAAGGAAGTGAAGAAGGAGCCGGGAGAGACTCTGTCCTGCAGTAAGCACCTGGAAGGCCAGATGACCGCAGAGAACCTTTTTCCTCCGAGGTACGGAGATGACTCTGGAGAGCAGCTGATGGATCCTGAGCTGCAGGAGCTCTTCAATGAGCTGACCAACATCTCGGTGCCGCCCATGAGTGACCTGGAGCTGGAGAACATGATCAACGCCACCATCAAGCAGGATGACCCCTTTAACATTGACTTGGGTCAGCAGAGCCAGAGGAGCACGCCGCGGCCCGCCCTGCCGATGGAGAAGATCGTGATCAAGAGCGAGTACTCCCCTGGCCTGGCACAGGGCCCCGCAGGCTCTCCTCAACTGCGGCCCCCATCCGCGGGCCCTGCCTTCTCCATGGCCAACTCTGCCCTCTCTACTTCATCTCCAATCCCATCTGTCTCCCAGAACCCGGCCCAGCCTCAGCCAGCCTCAGGAGCCAGCCGAGCTCTGCCTAGCTGGCAGGAAGTATCCCATGCACAGCAGCTCAAACAGATAGCTGCCAACCGTCAGCAACATGCCCGGATGCAGCAGCAGCAGCACCAACAGCAGCACCAGCCTACCAACTGGTCAGCCTTGCCATCTTCTGCTGGGCCATCGCCAGGTCCATTTGGGCAAGAAAAACTCCCTAGTCCTTCTTTTGCTCAGCAGCCATTCAGCCCCCAGAGCTCCCCTCTGGCTGGGGTAGCAGGCAGCAGCAGCCAGTCCAAAGTCATGGCGAACTACGTGTACAAGGCCAGCCCCTCAGCGCCGAGCGGGCACCTGGATGTGCTAATGCAGCAAAAGCCTCAGGATCTCAGTCGAGGTTTTATGAACAACCCACATTCTGCCATGGAAGCCCGACTCAGCAACACCAAGCCTCTGTTCCATTTTAACTCCGACCAAGCAAACCAGCAGATGCCTTCTGTTTTGCCTCCACAGAGCAAGCCTTCCCTCCTACACTACACTCAGCAGCAGCAGCAGCAGCAGCAGCAGCAGCAACAGCAGCAGCAGCAGAGCTCAATTTCAGTGCAGCAGCAGCAGCAGC